AAAAAAACCATATCAGACTTTGCAGCAACTTGAAACTAAAATTGCAGCCATATTATATAAAATTAAATAAAATCGTGGGTTACTCACATGAATATACTGAGAAAAGCTCTACTAGTAGCGCGGTCGCGGCGATGTCGCGCACGCTGCTCATGAGAAAGAACACCTCTGTGGTTCGAAACTAGTAGAGCTTTTCTCAGTATGTTCACGTAAGTAATCTGCGATTTTAGTTTATTTAGTATATCTCATGATAGTTATTATAAAAACATATTGGACATGTACATAATGGACTCACACTTGCCGTGTAATGGAAGGGCAGCTAATCTGTCCAGCTAGGTATAACAATATCATCATTCTTTACTGATTTTAACATTTTCGAAGAAACAAAAATATTCTCTAATGCAACTTTTATCAACTACTCCATTAAAACAAACTCTAAACACAGAATAATTAATTTAACAGAAAACAAAGTTCATACATAATAAAAAATAGTTTGTAACGAAACATATTTATATTCATGATGGACGCGATTGACTCTCCAATGAACAAAGGCTATAAAACATTTACGGGGACATGCATTAACGAAACTTCCGAATGCACTACTAAATATTTATACGTTTCGGAAAGCGTATTTACAAGTGTTCATGTTGACTTGTTATTTTATAGTACTATGTTATCGTGATGTATGTTTTAAAGAAACGTGTTAGGTTTAATTTCATATGGTATGATGTTGTTTATTGTAATGTTATTAAAAATAAGATTTATAAACACAGCACGCAGAAGTATAATGTGTAGATGATAGCAGAATTTTATTTTTGGAACTTGTATTTTAAGGCATCTGTGATGTCCTTCAATAGCTTATCAATGCTATGATACTCAGTTATTTTAATGTAATACCATATAGTTATTAGTGATGGGTTGGTGTGTGCCGGTCGGATGTCGACGAACCCAACAGAAGTATCCGCGCTCTATTTATTATCTACGTAATATGACAGATGTTACTAGAGATGACGGTATTCCAGAATACACGAATACCTGAATATAGCACAGCATACAACATTATAATATTATATTGTAATAAACATGATATACTACATACAATCCCAAAATCAATGTCATTACCAATAATCCTGGAAACCAAACCACTCAATAACGATTTGTATAACCCGAAACTCTTCCGACTTCTCTAAAAACTAACTTAAGTTAGTGCAAAACGACAGGAAATAAAAAGTAACAAGTAGATTTAAGTAGCACGTTCCGTATTTGCCATTTCAAATGCTACCAAAACATTCAAAACTAGATTCAGTAACCATGCGTCTCAGTTTATTCGCTTCATCGAAAACTTTTTTGTTTGAAATGTACATACACACAATCTGCTTCTTTTTAGTGCACATTTTTATTATAGTGTGGAATACATTTAGAATATTATTTTTATAAATAAACATGTTACATTTAATTTTAATGTCCATCATATAAAATTGAGTTTACGTTCTGAACAAAATGTTGGTTTTACTGTCTCAGTGCTAGGTCTAAAACCAAATTTAACATGATTTTTTAAAAGTATACATTATATTATTGTGTTAATTTATTTAATCAATTCGCATTGTAATCTCCTTTTTCTTACTGTTTAAAGTGATAACATTACATGTAACTTGAAGATCAGCCCTTTAATAATAACAATATGAGCCTTCATCAATGTCATCGAGGATTGTTATTGTTCATGAGCCTTAATTTCTATCAAAATCTTTCCGTTATTTCATATGTCATTATAATCTTATACATGTCAATATCATCTTAAATAATCTCCATTTTTATTGTTTTAGATGCAACAAGGCTATGTACGCCAACCGTATCTCCTACTGGCTGGACAGTAAAGGTCCGTCTTATGCCCTGGACGTGGCTTGCTCCAGCTCCATGTCCTGCCTCGAGCATGCTTACACCAGCATCAGTAGTGGCGTGTGTGAGGCTGCCATTGTTGGTGGTTGCAACTTGTGCATGCATCCTAATGTAGCCTTAAATATGAGGAAGTAAGTAATATATAAAGTTGCTTTAAAATATAGTCTGTATTGATATAAACAAATCAAAAAACATTTGCAAACTCGAAAGCGAGAAACAAAGCAATTTTTTGACTACCTCGTTGACCGAATAGTCGCAAGTGCGACTGCCGGGCAAGGGGTCTCGGGTTCGATTCCCGGGTTGGGCAAAGTATTACTGGATTTTTTTGATAAAATCTCAGTAGTAGCACGGAGTCTGGAAATGGTCATTGCCAATAGCATAGCATACCAATAGACTCATTGCCTTATAGCGGGACCCCCTATTAAATGGGACTCATAACATAAATAGTGAAAAGTGGGTGTTACTTCTGTGTGCACCTCTGCTTACCCCTAGGGGATAAAAAGGCGTGATGTTACGTTATGTTATACATAGTTGTTCTAGGACCAAAGTCCTAGTTTTAAGCAACATGCCGAAACTGTTCTTACTCATATGTATATCAAATCATAAGGTTATTGATCCTTTAATGTTTGTTTTTATTTTAACAGGTATGGATTCCTGTGTCTGGATGGCAAGACGAAATGTTTCGACAAGCACGGAGATGGTAGCGTTAGGTCCGACGCTATCAACATTCTGTTCTTGCAAAAGGCTAAAGATGCAAAGAGGTAAAGCATTCTACCACATTAATTAAACGATTTTATTTAGCTTGCACCATTTGTTTAGTCGTGTTAAATTTAATTGGGATGTTATGTTATGCCCTACTTGATAACAGATTGATAGGATAACTGGTACATACTCTTGATCTTGATAAATATACAATAAAATCCACCATTTTTCACAACTACCTCTATTATACATATCAAACAAAATAGTTTAAATGGTAGAATCTTCTTCTCTTCTCTGTCGTTTCGCTCTTGGCAGAGCGGTCGTGGTCACGTTGAGGCGGCCGTATTTGTGTTGGTGGCCGATACAGCTTTCCTCACGATCTTCCGCCATCACTCTCTATTTGTACATGGTAGAATAGTGAGCTAATTAAAATTGTTTAACATACCTAAAAAATATCTTTTTTACATTCCGTGTTTACATTAAACGAAAATGTCAGTACCTGGTGGTACTGACTGTAACTGAAGTGGTTCAGTTACTTTAAATATTATTAATCAATCAATACATTTAAATGTACGGCCATTATCGGAAGTGAAACTCATTACATATTAATGAATTGATTTTAAATGATTCATTACTATTTCGTTTTACGTTCCGACGGGATAATGGAGGAATAAATTTAAAATTTTCTTCAGATAATGAGTGTTAAGGTTTTATTTATCATGTGTACATTTGTATTACATGGGCTTCATAACATAAATAGTGAAAAGTGGGTGTTACATTATACAGTGACATAATGTATACCTCTGCCTACCCCTTCGGGGATAAAAGGCATGATGTTATGTTATGTGTACGTTTGTTGTTAATCAATCTATGTATTTTGACTACATTTTAAATGGCTTGACTGATTGTATTTGTTGCTTTTATCTTTAACCAGAAATTAGACCTGTTCTACCGTAAGCGTTGCATACAATACAAAAAAACATTGATATAGCATCTAACATAACATCACGCCTTTTACCCCCGAAGGGGTAGGCAGGGGTGCAAATTACGGCATTTAATGCCACTAAGTACAATGTAACACCCACTTTTCACTCTTTAGGTTATGAGTCCCATGTAATAGGGGCTGAGCTTATTGCCATATACCGGGCATATATCCAGACTCCGTACTACTACTGACATTAAAAAAAAACAGTAATGCTTTGCCCGATTCGGACCTGAATAGAACCCCTTTCCAGGCAGTCGCACTTGGGACCACTCGGTCAATGAAGCAGTCATTGGTAGGCCGTTAGAGCATCTAACAGAATAATAATTTTCTGAAATATTTGCTCAGGAATCAGAATTTTCGCTTATGAGTAGCACGTTAAATTTACTTAATAGTAAAAAAAGGCAGTAGTACTTATATCTAATGAAATAGTTACTAATAAATAATTATGGTTTGTAAAGTAAATATTCCATTCATAGTCATGTATGAGTATCATTTACTTCCAATTCAGAAAAGACGTTAACTTTTTTCTATTTGCTACTTGTGGTCAAAATCTAGGACGAATCAATCGCGAATAAACAAATACTATTTGGTCTAATTCCCTCTCACTACTGCTACAACTAAAGCTTTTTCTACAATGGTGCGATAATGCACCAGCGACAAACACCATTCCTTACTCCTCGAGCAAGTGTTAACGTCCACTTTCTCAATGTCAACCTTTATTTTCTAAAGTAAATTTTATTTTCAGTTCTAAATTAACGTATAGTTTCTGTACTCGCATCCATCTAAAAGTCAGTGGGCACTTGTTATTTATTACTCTACCGTTAACTCTAGAAGTTGGAAAATATGCGGTTAAATCTCTTTTTGTGGTTAGTAATAATTCATGTTCAGTCCAAAGGTAGTTATCTATTGCCGTTTTCTGGCTACCTACAACTATTGGTAGATAATATTTCTTTTAGTTTTTCTTTGAATTAAAGTTTTGTTTTTATCTCGAAGTTCTTGGAGATCTACGAAAAATATCTTATAAGTAATGTGTTTTAAATATTCATTGGCCTATGATAAGTTTTTTTAATTGCCCGACATCATTTTAGTCTATTTAGCCTACTCAACATTTAAAAAAATGCTTTTTAGTATTCAACGTGAATATATTATATATGAAATCATTGAACGACTGCCTCGTTGGCCAAATGGTCGCTATCGCGACGGCAAGCAGTTGGATTCCCAGGTAGGGCAAAATACTACTGGGTTTTAAAAAAAATCCTAATAGTAGAACGTTGTACAGTGACATTAGGTCTCTGCCTACGCCTTTGGGCATAAAAGGCGTGATGTTCTGTTGGTATTCATTAAACGACCAATATTTTTTTTATTACTGAAACACATAAGTATGTACTGCAATTTTTTACTTAAAAGAACTTACAACTACTCAAAGATACTAAATCTTATAACATTCATACGCCACAGTGCATTAGTACAAGTGAAATTGCAAGTTCCATTAAAACGGCGTTTATTTTTTACTCTTTGCTCGTCGGAACTGTTGAAATTGTACCGTGACATGACAACTACGACAGTCGGCCCTGTGACTCAGTTAATGTATTTGCAACGCATTTTTTTTCCACGGGTCAGCTTTTCCAACGTATTTTGATATTTTTTCAGCAAATTGAATTGTACGAGAAAATAGGATGGAGATTAAATGTTACGTAGAAATATAGACGTGGAACGAAATACAGCCATTTAACTATTATCTGCAGTTTTTTATATCTGTGCTGCACTATTAAGTTTCAAACAAGTTTTGAGTACAACAGTCCATTGTTTAGAGATCATAAAAATGAAAAAAAAATTCTATTTCGATAATAAATTCAGGTATTTTTATTTAATTCATCAACAAAATATTATTTTTATCGTTGTTTACAGAATTTACTCTGAAGTGTACTACGCCAAATCCTGCTACTCAAACACTGTTCAAGAGCAGTTCTTGCCAACTCGAAAACCAGAAGAAATCCAAGAATTCTTGGAAAAATTCTATAAAGAAGCTGGTGTTTCTCCTCGTGATGTGGAGTATATTGAAGCCAATGCCACAGGTAAGCCACTACTTTTAATACCATATAACATGTTGAATTCATTTTTGTAAGCTCGTAATCATATTAAGTACAACTGTTAAGAAGCCATCCTTAAAGTTTGAATAATCAAATTTTATCTGTTTTGTACAGCTATTGCTGAAGCAGATGCCAATGAATTGGAAGCCATTGGCAAAGTATTTGCTAAAGACAAAAGTGTACAAGTTGGATGCGTCAAATCTAATATGGGTCATGCTGAACCTGCTTCTGGAGTATGCTCGCTAACCAAGGTATGATAACAACAATAATACAACAAAAAAACATAATAAGAAATGATTTGTAATTTAACGTACATTCTTTTGATGCTAAGAAGGTATTACTTAAAGTAAACGAATAATAAGTTAAATCAACAATGATTTTATCAATATCCATGATATTGATAATGGTCATGCATTAACGAGATTTAGAGTTGGGCCTAGGTTTGAACCTTGTGGAAACCTTAATTAAATGAGATTTCTAGATATAAAGACTTTTACGACAAATGAAACACGCCTCACTTTATACCTGTTTTAAAATTTATTCAGAAAGTAACAAACTATGCGTAAATGTTTTGTAAAGACGGAAAACCTCTTTACATTATTAATGTTAAGGCCTTACTCAAAGTTCTTGTGGTAATATTTTATAAACATTTATTTGATACTTAACTTTCTTTATGGAGGCTTTTTCAGATTACAAAAATGTATTCCTTTAAGACCCTTCTATTTTTTTGATCTTAGTTCAGTTTATGCCTATAGCTTTAAGAAGTTTATGAACGACCTTAACCGAAAATAGTTAATAAAGGTTTCCCATTTCAAATTAATTATTACACAACCCAGAATCATTTTGAATGATCTTGAAATAGAACAATGATGTATAACATTATTACTGACTTTGCAATGAACTTAAAATTATTGAACCAATACCATAGTTTTCAATGGTAAAAGATATATTTTTTTCACTATTCTTATTATGCGTACTCACGTTAATAGTTATATAATTTTCATTAGTTTTCTGATAATTTGTATTAATTATTTCCCATTTAAGTACTTTTATTAATACTTAATATCATTTATAGGTGTGTCTGGCATACCACACTGGCCAAATTCCTGCGAACTTGCACTACTACGAGCCACAGGATGAGATTGATGCAGTCCGTGAGGGAAGAGTCCAAGTTGTAACTGAGAACACACCGTTCGGAAGAGGATTTACTGCTTTGAACTCTTTCGCCTACAGTGGAACTAATGTCCACGTTCTGATGAAAGGGCATTATAAACCAAAGGTAAGAAAGAAAATATTTGGTTTTCACATTTTAGTATCAACCTGTTTTGTCTAGTACGAGGGTTTGAATTGTAATACAGATATGTAGTGGAAGAAGTATTAATAATATTTAGGACTTCAAAGAAAAAATTTGAATGTAATGGTTTTTTTTTATTAACTGGAAAAATTATTGTGGTTTTCACAATTATTAAACATATGTAGATATGGACGACGTCGATAATTAAATAGACTGAATGTAAAAATGTTACTTTGCAATTTTTTCTAGGATCTAGAACGTTACCGCAGCAGCATTCCTCATTTAGTCCTCACTTCAGGCAGACAAGACCAATGTGTAAAGAGTATGATTGAAAAACTTGTCAAGCAACCAGTAGATCCTGAACAAATCGCTCTTCTGCATGAGATTCATGACAAACCTATGGCTGGACATACTTGCCGTGGATACGTTATTCTCGGTAAGCTGAACATAATACTAATACTAAACCAATAATATCAAAAAAGTTTACGAGTCTAAATATCGAAAAAAACATTATTGGTGATCTTACAATCGCATGTTCCGCAATAGCAAAGTTTACTTTTGTCATAATTAATATTTATATTTATTCGGATGAGTCGGTAAACCACCAGATGGTAAGCAATCAGCGTAGGGTGGTAATTGGGCCACCGGTAACAGCACTCACGCGACGAAATACAACGCAAGCGTTGCTTCACGTCGGTTTTCTGCGAGGCCGTGGTATCACTGCGGTTGTGCCGGCCCATTCGTGCCAATGCATGACTGTCCCACACCTAAATGGTAAAATATTACATTAATTGAAAAACAAAATTTTACATAACATATTCCTTTACAGGTACTGACGAGAACAAAGAAACGGTATGTGTAGCTAAAGAAGTGGAATACATAGACGGCGTGACTCGTCCAGTGTGGTTCGTGTACAGTGGTATGGGTTCCCAGTGGGCCACTATGGGCGCTGAACTGATGCGTATCCCGATATTTGCTGCAGCTATTGAGAGGTGAGTACTATACAAGCCTGTAAATGTACTGTGATGATGATTAAGCAGCCCTTGCAATTGACAATAGGGTAGATGCCTATTTTTTTAATGTCCGTCTGGTAGATTATTTTAAATCATTAGACACGTATTTGTTATTTTCTTACAGAAATGAATACTTTTGACGATATAATGATTTGAAATGTCTCGTGACGTCATTTTATACGTAGAAATGACGTTTTAGCTAAACTTTCATTTGTTTTATTTAAATATTGTTTTATTATACGACAAAATAAAAAAATACGTGTCTAATATTTTTTTTATTACCTAACTTACGGACTAATTATATTTTTAATTTTCATACCCTGTCATCATCCCAATTGTCTATTAGCTAGTATCTTACACAAGTTTTCAACTAATCATGGCTTTAAATGATCATTTCGATTATGTTCACACACAGATATGACAGACAGATTTTATGTATTTTCTTTGCGATATAAAGACAATACTCTTAACTATTATTTCTTTTTCAGATGTCAAAAAGCTCTTGAACCCAAGGGTATCGATATTGTGAATATTCTGACGAATCCAGACAAGGCTATTTATGATAACATCCTACATTCGTTCGTGGGTATTGCTGCAGTGCAAATTGGTCTCACTGACATACTGAAGGAGTTGGGAATCGTTCCTGATAACATCATTGGTTAGTTTAAGACATGTTAATGAATGAGAAATTGTTAGGTACAATATTTTGAGTATTGTTTGATGTGAGCGTTAGCTCTGTACACCTGTCTTAGAAGCAGTAAAACACATTTTACTTGTATTGGATTACAAACTTCTTAAAAACAGATACATAACAATGAAACATTTTTATCAACTTCTATTTATATGAAATTTCTTGTTCTTCATAGGACACAGTGTTGGTGAACTTGGATGTGCCTACGCTGATGGCTGCTTCACGGCTGAGGAGATGATCCTTGCAGCTTATAGCCGTGGTCTTGTGTCTTTACAGACACCGTTCATCCGAGGTTCTATGGCTGCTGTTGGATTGGGTTATAAAGCGGTAAGAACTACTATAAATATTGTCGTATCATCAAACGTATATTGTCATATTTGTGTAATAAAGAGTGGATAATTTTCATTTATGTATTTTGTTTTGATGAATGTAATTCAATAAAATTGTAGCAATTGGTTAATTTCTTATTTAACTACATAACAAATTCTTTATTTTTTCTAGATCAAGACTCTGTGCCCACCAGAAATTGAAGTGGCTTGCCACAACAGTTCCGACTCCTCAACCATTTCAGGGCCAGCTGATATTATGAAGTCCTTCGTCGCAGAGCTAACAGCACGTGGTATCTTTGCCAAGGAAGTTCCATGCTCGAACATCGCTTACCATTCGAGATATATACAGGATGCTGGTAAGACTATAAAATAATACAATTTCAGTACAATAATCTTCTATTGCTCAAAAGATTTGGGTCCACAGCAATTGACTTCCCTTGATTTTTCTGGGCAAAGAAATAAATCCCATAAATTATTATCCTAAGTGCGCTATCACTATCTTAAGTGACTAGCCTCATTGGCCGAGTGATCGCAAGTGCGACTGCCGGGCTAGGGGTCTCGGGTTCTATTCCCGGGTCGGGCAAAGTAGTACTGGGTTTTACAAAAAATCTCAGTAGTAGCACGGAATCTGGATCTGTGTCCAGTATATGGCAATAAGCTCACTCCCTATTACATGAAACTCATAAAATAAATAGTGAAAAGTGCATGTTACATTGTACAATGGCATAATTAGCACCTCGGCCTTTCCCTTCGGGGATAAAAGTCGTGATGTTATGTTATGTTATTATCTTAAGTTACCAGCTTCATACTAAAACGAGTTATTATATCACTAGGCCCTGGTCTTCTCAAATATTTGAAGGAAGTCATCAAGAACCCGAAAGAGCGCAGTAAGAAGTGGGTATCAACATCAGTTCCCCAAAACGAGTGGGACAAACCCGCTGCCCAGTACTCTTCTGCTGAATACCACACCAATAACTTATTGGTAAGAAAACTTCAGTAAAACAAATGTAAACTTTATTGTTGTAGTGTTTAAAAGGGTTTTAGACGTACTTTATAAGATCTTTTATGATAAAATCAGGGTTATTAATTTGTAACCAAAAGCCGTTTAGTATTCAGGAACATCGAAACTAGAATTTAATATAGTTCGGTAAAATCTTAAATTGTAGTTTAGTAGATTTTAGGCCTCAGGCCATCGATAAGAGATTAGTTAGTCTCGAAGTAATTTTAAACCTAAGTATAATAAATCTAGTTTTAGCTATTGAATAGCTTGTTATTATTCCTCATGTTTTACTTCTTTAATAGTTACAATAGTACTTAAATTTACTAATGATTTTTTATTTCTTACAAAGCCAACCGCAATTACAAACTGAACCCATATTTATACAAAATTACTCGTTACATAACATGCACTCTAAAAAAACGTTCCAACAATTTTAAAATCTCCAACAGAACGCAGTGCTTTTTGAAGAGACATCCAAGTTGATACCAGCGAATGCCATTGTGATTGAAGTGGCGCCTCACGGGCTATTACAAGCAATCCTCAAACGTTCATTGGCCGAATGTACTCATGTACCACTTACAAGACGTGGCCACGCCGATCCAGTTAAGTTCTTACTGGAAGCCTTCGGAAAGTGAGTATCGGTGTTAAAGATAAATTTGTTTTATAAACAAAATTTAAAAAAAATCGAGGCGTGCTTGCGACACAAAAAATTGTTTGTTTATTGAACACATCACTAAAGTACAATATTACTAAAAATTAAATGCTGAAGCTAAGTTATAGCATAGTTTGGTGGCTGGCTAAGTATAGCTTTAATAACGAATGCTAACACTAGATTCTTTTGTTTCAGATTACACTTGGCAGGACTTACGCCAAAAGTTAAAGCGCTCTACCCAAGAGTAGAATTCCCCGTTGCTACAGAAACTCCAATGTTATCGCATTTAGTCGAGTGGGAACACAGTGAAAAATGGTAAGATTTTATCACATCTGCTGTCTCAAAACCTTTGCAGCCAGTACGAACTACAAGATACACATATCTATAGAATTTTATTGGCATTTTGAGTTCAGAAGTATTTTTATTTCTGTATCACTGATTAAGCACTTTGACCAGTTATAACTATGAGGTCTTATGTTCGATAGATTAATGGTTAAGTTTCGTACCCCAGTTAAATTATTGACAGAGACATGTTAGTGAGCAGAGACTTGAATAATTTTCTGATTTTAATTTACAAATTTCTAAAACGACGTACATACGTCAGAGAGTATTTTTACAAAAATCTCAAAATCATACAAAAGTACAGTAATTTACGCAAATTCAATTAAACAAATTGTGTGTTTTCAATACCATATTTTTCTTTAGTACAATTTGGAGTACCCGTACACCGTACAGTCAGTGGTTTAATATTTATTTTAAAACCTCTATTATTTTAGGCCCCAGGCAAAATACAACGCGAAGGATAGAATCACAACATCGATCAGAAATTTCGTTCTCTCCATACATGATGATGACTACAAATTCTTTGAAAATTATAAGAGAAATGGTGAGTAAATAAACTAAATAAATACTATCCCGATAACGATTGTTTCTTGAACGGAAATTTCATCGAAAAAGAAAATATTGTAATATCTAATTATAACTTAAAAGCAGTCAAACTTTTTATCCCAGAATAGGTTTTATTCTTATTAAGTTTATATTATAACTTTCATGAGACATAGTAAATAAATTAATTTTGACTTTCATAACGGTTTGACGAGGAACTCGACAAGTTTCAGGTCATACTGGACACTCATATTCTTGAGCAGCATTCCAGGACATAAGAAACGGTGACGCGGCTAGTCGACTCTCTCGTTAAACAATATTATTGAATTATTGTAATATTTTTATCAAAATAAAAATTTCAGGTGCCTACGTGTTCCCTGAGGCAGCTATATTGACGATCGTATGGGAGACTCTTGCCATGTTCAAAGGTGTCGATTACAGGACCATGCCTATTGAGTTCCAAAACGTGCACTTCAACGAAGAAATTTATTTCAAGGCCGATGATCCTCTGAAGCTAGATATCATGATACTTAAAGGAAACATGTATTTCGAGGTAAGTTAAGAAATAAAAGTAAGGTTTAGTACTATATTATAATGCTCATGCTACTGTATAACTAACTTCTGCCAGCGTCTTCACTCGCGTTCCTGATGGATAAAGATTACTAATATGTTATTCCAGACCATAATCTACCCCTGTTCCAAATTTCACCTCGATTCTTTCAGCCGTTTTGTAGTGAAGGAGTACTAAACAACCAAATAAAAAAATATATCGCATTAATAATATTAGTAGGGTGTATGACAACTATCAGTATATGTCAAAATGTTTCATGAAATAAGCAAATAAGTAAATTGTGACTGTTATCATTTCGTAGGTTAACCACGACAAAACAGTTGTAGCTACTGGTTATTTAACTGAATTGAATAAAAAGGACAACATGAATCGAGAATTGGTAAAGTCATCTGATGCAAAGAACGTTACTCTAAATACTCGAGATGTTTACCAACTTTTGCGTATGAGAGGATACAATTATGAGTAAGTATAACTAAAGGAAAATCATCTAATTGCACGGAATACTGTTCTAATGGCCAGTTTCAGTAACCTACCTATCTGTAGATATGCCTATTAGAGATACATATTTGACACATTTTGTATGGAGCTTATGTCAAAATTCTATCTATACTAAGCAAATCTACAGATACATAGGTTATTGAAACTGACCACAAGTAACATTAAAATCTAAACCTTTTTCTTATTTCAGGGGTAAATTCCAATCGATCCATTCAATCACATCTGATTGTTCTACAGCGAATATTAAATACACTAACGAATGGATCCCACTACTTGATTCTCTTTTACAATTCATCGTATTAAAGAGGGAACACTCTGGTCTATCAAAATTGACTCAAATTAACAAATTGAGGATCAACACCGAGGAACATTTAAATGCTGTGCAGAATGATGTAGATGGCGTTCCTTGTCTGACTGCGGAGTACTTTGATATTCATAATTTAACTAGGTAATAGTTTTTCTTTTATGTGTATCATGCTCTTTTGGGACGAAAATATATTACCAGAGTCTGATGTCTTGGTTGATTTTTAAAATCGTTTGACGTGACTATATTTATTTTCTTTTTAGATGCGGTGGTATCGAATTTGAAACTGTGACGTTCTCTGATAAGCTGGTCGCTGAGACTGACCCTGATCTTATACTTTCCCGCTGCTTTGTGCCTCATTTCCTGATTGGAAAGATTGATGTAAGTACTAAGTAAATAAATTTTCGTTCGTTAGTCTTGCTAAAACTCGAGAACAACTGAAACGATTTGGATAATTTTGTTTACAAATTTTCGCGGAAGCTCAAATAAGGTTTAATGATGAGGAAAATTTTTTAGGTAGTACGAAGTTTGCCGGGTTAACTAGTAATTAATATTTAATAGGTATAAAATGAATATATATAATATAAATGATAGTAACCTTAATAAGAAGATTAACCAAATTCTGTCTTTTATAGCTAAAAGCAGCTTTGCACGTGAACATTCAAATCGCTGCTGACAACATACCAAGCCGTCAAATCAAAGTCACTGAACTATTCTCAACCACATATCCAGAAATTTCGAAGATTTTAAGGGAAGTAACTGATGAAATTACTGATAAAGACTTTGTAATGAGTGGCTTCAATAAAAACGAGATTGATCTATCTACTGTATTTGTGGTTGACAATTTATTGGAAGATGAACATGTAAGTACCAAATCATAAAATAAGAATTAAACTCTAAAAACATAAACAAAAGAAAGAGTTTTAAGTGACTTCAAACCTTTTTTATTACAGAAAATGGAAACCCTAGCAAGAGTGCTGCCAAAATCGACATTCATTTTGGCTGTTGAGAAAGATACTGCAAAAATCTATTCCAAATACAAGTCATTTAATGTCATATCATCATTCAACACTAAGAATTACATACTTGTGTTAGTAAACACTATTGATTCAAGCAACAATGAAAACATTACTTACATGCCTATAACTAACGATAATAAGTTTACTTGGGTGCCACGAGTGCAACACGAATTGGAGAAGTCCAGGAAACTGGTACTTGTATCTGAAAGACAGCCATACTCTGGACTTATTGGTAAGGGTAACTTATATTATGTATCTTTCAAGATAACAACGTTGATTAAAATCATGGATTTACAATTAAAAGCAACGTAATCTTTGCCGTATTGTAAAGTTTGTGATAAAATTGAATGTGATACAACATTTGCTGTTATATTATTATATATACAACATATGTAACATTAGCTTAGTTGTAAATATAAAATGCTAATGTGTATGGATGTTGCATTAAATACAATAGAGTTGACGTATCCGTGTGAATAAAAACCATAAAAATATAAAAATAAAACAAAATCGTTCTCTTTTTAGGTATGGTCAAAAAATTGAGGGAACAATATGGAAACAAAATTGGTCTAATCGTTGTTGACGACTACCACTTAGAAAATTTCAACACCGAGGCTGCCGTTTTCAAAGATCAAATTGAAAAGAAACTGTCAATTAACATATTCAAGAAGGTACACAATGAAACATAATAGTTTTTATCAAATAACGTCCCAAAAAGCCCGACGAGATTGCTTTCTTCTTCAAGTATCATAATAAAAATTACTTCAATATGAACGAATTTTTCCTTCAAAATATAATTGAAATATGTTTTCAGGGACATTGGGGAGGCTATTATAATATTCCAAGTCCCAAGGAGACTAATATTAGAAGTGTTGCCCTTACAAGTACTTCTCCTGGTGATATGGATGGTTTGAAATGGGTGGAAGTACCACAGTTGCCTGCCTCCAACACGATGGTTCAGGTAAAAATTATGATTTTGTTATTATATTCCTATCCAAAGATTTGTTTCTATTTCGGATTACCAAATTATACTTTTTTGTGTATCCAGGTGAGTTACGTGGGGCTTTCTAACGAAGATGCCCAGAATGCTATCGGTACATCCCTAGCACCAACCAATGGTTTTGGAAAGGAGTTCAGTGGTATCACCATCAAGTGAGTATTATTATTATATTTGTGACATTTTAAAGCTTTGGTTTACTTATGGGGGAAATTATTTACAATTTAAAGATGAAAAATACTAAAACTAATATGGCTAATTAATTTCAGTGGTGATCGAGTCATGGGATTGCTTCCTGGAGGTGCATTAAGAAGTGTTGTAGAAGCTGATCCAGCTCTATTGTGGCCTGTACCTAAACATTGGAGTTTGGAAGACGCTGCTACAGTACCTTTGGCTTATGTTAACGCATTTTATTGCCTTGTAAGTATAATTAGAAAATATAACAAAACGTACACATTTTGTTAAAACGCTATTAAAATACACCTCTTTTTAACAGGACTACATATTCCATATGGATCGTGTGGGTGACAACTCTATTTTTGTAAATGGTGCATCAGAACCTTTTGGACAAGCGATCATATCCGTGGCTTTATTCTTCGGATACAAAATATTTGCTAATGTTGAAGATAAACAGAAGAAAGAATTGTTACTTAAACTGTTCCCAGAGTTAAACGGTACATATTTATATTTTTGTTTTAATATTATTGCTATACTTTTTATTATATTTTTACTTTAAAATATATATGTTTATTTCTTTTATAGAGGAAAGCATCGTGTGTTCCCGCGTAGATGCCCATAGCACAGTCATTATGAATTCTAACGCTCATTGTTGTAATATTGTCATTAACTGTGCCAGCGGTCCGTTGCGTCAAGTAAGTTTATTTTTTAATTAGAAATCCACTCGAGTTTTGTCTTTTTATTTAAAGGGGGGAAAAATCATCGCATGACTGCTCCCGCCTGGTTGAGGCGGGAGGGAGTGTCAGACTCTTACTGACTAAAAACCATCCCGTTCCTTCTTCTGCACGCTGAGTCGGAGCCCCGGTAACCCGTTAGGTTCTCCGCAACTCGAGTTTCGTCTAAGGAATGATGATCGCTGCAAAACGTTTGAGATATATTATTTTATGATTTTATTTCAGTCTGCAATGAAATGTGTGTCTCAAATGGGCTTCATTTTGGACGTTTGTGAAGAAGACATGAAGAATAACAAAGATTTTGGTTTATCCTTCTTGCGTGAAGAAAGGAATTATAAGGGTATCTTGGTCTCCAGTATATTCAAACCAGAGTTCGCTGAAGAAAAGAAGGTAAACATTTTTTTTTCAAATGATTTTAGTCTCTATGTTATGCACTACTGAACTCAAAATCATTTTGCACACTAAACGTTCTTCATAACCTACTTTAGTAACTTTATAGTTACTTTTAGTAACTGCTATAATCGATTTCATATTTCTTCTAGAAAATTCAACTGTTTATGGTTCATGGAATTATGACGGGTATGGTTAGACCTTTGAACCGCATTGTATACTCTCCCACGGAGGTCCCGCGAGCTTTCAGACTGATATCACTAAAGAGGTTCTGTGGCAATGTCCTCATAAGAATGAAGGACCCGAACATTTCGAGCGAAGATTTATGCGTCACTCCAAGGTATGTGCGAAATGGTTATAGTTATATTGAATTCTTGTGCTGCAGTAAATATAAAAGGGGATAGCTATGACAGCACCGTCAAAAACCACATCAAAATGTTACAGTGAAAATTAATTCCCAAGTTTGTGGTATGTTTGCAGTCTTTTATACGCCTCGAGTACTTTTTGCCCTTGTAAGGCGTACTAAATTAATTATTATGTTTTTTGGCTTACTCACGTAATTATTTGACGAGGAACTCGACTAGTTAGACTCAGCAACAGAGTAAAGTAGCAGCGCGACAGTTACCAGGCGCGACCTGGTAACTGTCGCGCTGCTACTTTACTGCCGCACAATGCTGCTTATAAATATGAGCCTTTAGCACGGCTTGAAAGTAGTCGAGTTTCTCGTCAAATAATTACGCGAGTAAGCCGAAAAGTATTATAATTAAAAAAACTAAATATTTCTTTATCAGTGGCATGTCAAGTTACTGAATCAACGAGAAGGTCGTTTCATTACAATTAGTTTTTATTTCACAGACAAAGCTACTCTTCTGATGGATCCTACATTGTAGTGTGTGATGAATCGGAGCTTGGTTTCGAAGTCGCTGATAGGTTGGTTCATCGTGGTGCGAGGAATCTTCTTTTAAACCTGAAGCCTAACTCTTCAGCTGGATACTGCTACATCAAAATAGCGTGAGTTTGTTACCCTATGATCAGATTTGCCCAGTTGAACAAATTAGTACACCGATACTTTTACGGCACAAGTCTTCACTTTTGAAACACATTCTAATATTCTGATCTTGACTATAGGTCTTGGAAAACACTGAACGTAAATGTCAGGATATCGTCAGAAAACTTGTCAACGGATAAGGAATGCGTGAACCTAATAAAAGAAGGAGCTAAATTGGCGCCTGTTTACGGAATTTTCGTAGTCCAGAATTATCAGACTGATGGTAAAGAAGACGATTTAGATACAGAGACAATGATGCAGAAATTCAACAACACTATTCGCGTTGTTGCAAACCTGGATGTGTCTTCGAGAAATCTCTGCAACAATTTAAAGTAAGTAAAATATTGATCTATTGTATTTAAAAAGATAGACCAAAGTCCATTTCCAAAGAAAGTAAATTACAAGGGCTGGTATACTAAAATGAACCTTATGGTTATAGGATCTCATAACATAGTTACATTATCGATACCTATTTACATTAATAATATTCTGTTCTCAGTATCCTATTAGATTCCATCAAGCACAGCACATTTTGGTATTTATTTGCACAGCACTATTTTGTTAGAAGCTAAAACTATTTCTAAAATGTCCTTCCATCCAAATTGAATTTCTGAGAAGCAAAATACTACCAACAAGGCTATTACCATTGAGTAAACTTATTCATATGTTATGAGCACTTAGAAAGCTAGACATTCAATTTGGAAAAGTAATGTAGGGACGAGTAACAAAACAACAACTTCTAATGTTGATGGACAGTTCATAAAATGTACAGTAAAATTTTAATATCTCTGCCCATACTAACATTTTGTTTCTGCGAATTTTGAACTTATATCTAGTTAATCGTTATCTGGATATTATTTTCTTATGTTTTGACAATTTTATTCAGTTAGGAGGTTTCAATTTCCTCGAATTTTGACTGGTGGATTTATTTAATTTTTACCATTTAGATACTTTCAGCTTGGAATAGCTTTAATAAATGTATTAGCGGAATATTTTAAATTTCAGCAAAAATGTACGAGAATTTTCAAAGTTTTAGAGTTTGTTCTAGAGACATATTTTATTACATAGATACAAAGTAAATCGAAACTTTTTTCAACAGGCATTTTGTGGTCTTGAACTATTCTTCAAAGGGTGCCAGCGACGAATACGCGGTGTCTGTGATTGAGAAAATATGTGAGGCGCGCAATGAAGCGTGCTTGCCAGCCCTCGCCTTCCGCGTCGACTGGATCAATGAGGTATTCCTGTTCAAGTTATTTCAATATTTGCATTTCATTTGACGTAGTGTGAGAACGATATCGTAGGAGGAAATTGGCGTGGTGTGAATATTCCGATCTTATTGTGAATTTGTACCTACGTATTTTTAGCGAAGACTACCAGAAACAATTAGGTCAGAAAATATTATGTTAGGAAAATTTTGCAGTGTAATTAAATTACTTTTTGACGATTGGATGAAATTAAAACAGAGACTTCGATCTCTTAGTTGTTAAATCTGATTTTCCTTGTAAACGATAACAAGTCTAGTTGACAAGCCTTACTTTTGCGATTATTATATTTCTACTAACTTTAATCAAGCTATTGTCAGAAACGTAAGCAATTTTCCAGAAAACATTGATGGTAGACAATAAATTGATTCTAAAATAGTACGGAACGTGTATTAAAGATGGCCTCATTCTTTCAGTTTGATATTAATGGAGAAAACGGTACAAAAACACGATCACAGAAACTGTCAACAGTCATGAATGCTTTGGAAACAAGTTTGAAACTAAATTACACAGATGTCGTGTCATTTGATTTGAAGAAAAGAAACAATTACGATTTCTTGGCCAAAGTCGCTAAAATTATTGGTGAGTTACGTTTTGTTCTTATATTTTTTGGTCCAATAAGTAGGTTACAAACCAAAAAAATGAGCAAGCCTAGGTCTCATTCTCGTGGTCTGTTTTGTAATAGATTGTAATATAAATAACAAGCAGACCTACTCAGATCGAGTCACTATCATTACGGTTGACCTAAAATTTTCTTTTATTTGTACTTTGTTGAACCTTTTTAATCCATTAATGCTTATGAAGAATTCATGTAATGACCCTGATATTTCTTCGACACTTTAGTCCAATCGTTCCAGTAAACTAAAACATAAAATATTGAGGTACAAAATGTTCAAAATTCAAATTCAAATACTCTTCAAAGAGAAAATCAATGTAATGGAACATTTTTATCCATCAATTAAATCTATAATTTTCCGTGTCTCATTCTATCTGTTCTGAAATATGACTAAAGAAAAATATTTTTAGTAAAGCCTTATTTTTTAAATACTTCTTGTGTATATGAAACCCATAGTCTAGTAGTGGTCTTGTATTAGCTGTTGATGATGATGATGATGTATGTCATTCTTTTTATACAGGAGTGCCCGACATGGAGGATGTTAAAGACAATCTGACTCTGGATGATCTAAGCTTGAATGACACCAACTTGCAAGAAATCAAATTACTTATCAAGAATGTGTATAATGTTGACTATTGTACTGAGACTTTATCTCAACTGGATGTTGGAAGGTAAGAACAGTATATTGTTAAATATACGTTTTTTTATATAAAATATATACACACCTAGTAAAAGGAGTAGTTAACAGAGTAAGTATAGGGCGTGAGCAATTTAGTCAATAATCGGAATGGTTAAAGGTCATCGATCTCCCGCACGGCTTCGGCAAGGTGTTTTTTTTTGCTTTGGAAATAATACAAACAATACTTACAGCGTTTTTATATTGACCTTGTGAATTATGTTATACGACATACAATTTTAAGTTCATATTAAAACGATAAGTAAATTTTATTGCTGGGTTGCAGCCGTATCGGCGCCGTCATTGTTGGGTGTGGGATGACCATAACTTAGAGTACAGAATTATTAAGTTACTCAGGATATTGTAGTTTAAATAATATGCCAGGAGGAGTTTATTTTATGACAGTTAAGTGTTATTGTTCAGTTTTAAAAATGAGATGTGTTTTGCAGCCTAAAGAGTTTCGGCAGTATCGAGAAGAGGCAGAATACTAAATTCGATGCTGGCTTAGGAGCATTCTACACTTATACTGATGATGACGAGTGTATGGCTACTGAGCCTATGATTCAAATGCCGACTAAGCTGAGCAGCGGTACCGAGGTTTGTACTATAGATTAATTTACAAATAATATTTAAATTAAAATGTAATACCTGCTTACTTAAGTATATTAAAAAGTTCGTAAAATCAAGAGTAGTTATACGAAATTGACTTGGACTTTCTGACTTCTTTCTTAATTAGTGAAGGACCAATGAAAAAATATATTAGAATTCTTTTTGCAGCGGCAGTAGATGGTTGTCCACCCACTGCACTAACCGTGTAGTCATATTATTCATTGATTATTCTGTTAGTGTACTTTGTAAAAGAAAAATGATTACGATTTACGTACATACATACATACATAACTTCACGCCTGTCTCCCATGGGGGTAGGCAGAAACTAAGGAACGCCAATTACTACGATTTACGTAATTTGTATAAATTATTAAATAATATTTTTTGTTCATTTAGGAAGAGCAAGAACTTGATCCAAAGGAGACTTATTTGATCCTGATACCAGGATTCGAAGGACATCACCAAATGTTCTACCGCGTTACTGAGAGGTTGAAGGTCAGAGCCATGACCTTCCAACTTGGACCTGACATAAACCAGGATAACATTCAGAAAATGGCCATCGATATATTGACGGTAAGTTCTGCAAATAACGATATTTTATGGATACATACATTTATCAAGATGGCTGTTGCTCCCCGAAAAAAGGCGTATCTCTTACTAAACTCATTAAACAATCACATCTTTACTTCCATGATTTCAATGTTTAAAACTAAACATCGAAATACTACTGCGCCTTCCCTATGCAAACTGCTAAGAAACAAAATTCTTTGCCAGAGTCTGTTTTTTCTATAACTATTTGGTATAACTTGGGTGTCTTCACGACCTGACTGCATAGGTTGCTTATGGGTCGAAGTGCTCTATAGTAGGCTGCAACATCGCTTACCGCCTGGCGTGATAGTACTTAAATGTCGACCCATCACAAGTAGAAAAGGCACCTAACCGACAAGGACATCAGACTTTAAAATAAGTTCATTCATCAGTCTCATGACTTTTATTATTTGCTCACTAAACTGTGTACTCTTTGCAGTAGATTTTTTATTGCAACAGACGCAATTAAAGTAAACGTTTACAAAAGACAAAGCGAACGGAAATTACAACTTGTATCACTACAATGTTACTTCTCCAATATCTATCGTCCATTCCAATAAAAATAACAAACAATCCTTTCATTCTTGGAATCGTACACGAAAATATTGCATTTTGCTCTCATATAATATTTCCTAAAGAAAATCCAACGTCTCGATTCATCTACAATTTCCCGTATACTTATTAAGTATTGAACGTTGTGACCTAGTATTGAGAGTAGTTCGTGCTTGCACGCTACCACTACCATCGTTCCCTATCAGTCGTTTTCTTTTATTATAAAAGATTGAATTAATTCAATTGATATTTCCCAAGGAACAGTGATGTAGGAACTCAGTAGACTTACGGACACTGATTGGTGAATAAATTGTGGTCGGTTTTGTTTTCTTTTGTTCACTGAGGGACCCCAATTCGTTAAGTTATTCATCACTTCGTTAAATATCCATTCGAATACTTTTTAAAATTTCGACTATGCCCCGTACCGTTTGTGAAAGGAAAACAGTTGGATTAATTGGCGAGTCTCGTAACATATTGAATTGTTTATAAGGCCTTTTGTGTTAAGGAATTAATGATATTTATTTCTGTTGATTTGTTAATAATTAATTGTAACTTTTTAGTTATTTATTACAGTATGTAAAGTACGATAATTGTACGGACCTACTTCGTTGTTATAACTATTACAAACATAATTTTTACTACCTAATTCGTTCATGGATCAAACTCCTTATAGAAAGAATGTTCATATGAGTTTTACATCTGATCATTACATTGAAAAAGCTAATTTTTGTTGTATTTGTGATTTTTAGTTCATGAAGAAGAGGTTCGAGCTTAAATCCAATTTCTATCTGATGGGATATTCCTTTGGTGTCAACGTTGCTCTAGAGTTGGCCGCATTATTTGAAAAAGAAGGTACGTATTTGTTACTAGCTACTTCCGCGCGGTTTCACACGCTCTGCTCACCTCCGGTCGTAGAGTGAAGTTTCATAGCCTATAGCCATCCTCGATAAATGCGCTGTCCAACACAAAAATAATTATTTAAATCAGATTTGTATTTACGGAGATTAGTGCGTTCAAACAAACAAACAAAAAAACGATTTTATATAATATTCTTCCGCTTTATATAATAGTATAAGATTTTACTTAATCTAGAACATAACGGTTAGGTTTACAGCTTAATAAGAGAACATAGCCTCTATTTACAACTTTCGCCACCTCGCTACTTGAATTAAAATTCCTTCAACCAATCTCAATTTATTTTTGTCGTTTCCTAAGAAAATTATATTAAAATTATTAAGACAACATTTAAGAAAAGGGAGGACTTTTATAGATTGAATCCCTTGCGTCACATTATTTCAAAGTTTGACTTTTATGGAGCACATTTTAATTTCTAAAAAGACTTACTTACTTATCTATAAAAACTCTAACTTCCTTAATCTAGAAACGTACAATTTTACACCGTAACAGTATAGACATAGAGTTAAATCTTGCTTAACAGACTTATGAACTTTGAAGATAATTACTTGAATTTATTTTTTCAGGTCGCGTGGGAACTGTGTATTGCTTGGACAGCAGCCCAGATGCATTAAGAGTTCAGCTCGATGCTTATGTTGGCAATTTAACTGATACAGAGTTACAGAACAAAATCGTTGAGCACATGTACCGTCTCATGACAGGAAGAGACAACGAGGAACTGAAGAACGACTTAGAGAGATCAGAGAGCTGGTCAGAGAAGGTGGATGCATGTGTTAGTAGACTGAGGGAGTTGGCGAGCTATTCCAACCAGTATAAGAGATCGATCCTAGAATCGGCGTACCGAAGGATCATGCTGGCAAGGCAGTACGAGCCTGAATTCAAACTTGAATCCCAACTAGTTCTTATGAAAGGCATTCCTCATCCGAAAGCAGGACCTCTTCCTGAAGACTACAACTTATCCAAGTATACAACGAAGCCAGTGAAGGTGTTCAACATTGAGTCTGACCATGCCTCAGCACCCCACGATTGCAGAGTATCGAATATCATCAACAAGTTCCTGGATCCCGAATTGCTATCGAAATTCGAGAAGGAAGTTCTATGTGAAACCTACTTGGTCGAATCATTCAAAATGTTGTAGACTTTTTTATAATGTTCATTGGAATATCGATGCGCATCAGTTACTAAGTTAGTTTAATACGGTCATCAATAATTACGTTAGTAACCTAATAAATTATATTACTTTTAACAATCGTTTTTATTTATATCCATAGAACCTTAGAAATTTAGAAATTTTGAACATTAATCAGCCATGGATTGACATTGAATTAAAACTTTGGATTTTTAATGATTTATTAATTAAGGTTTGGAAACCTTAATGACTGTGATATCGATTTTGGATGAAAACAAAGCGATTATAAGTTTAATTTTGTTTCTAAGAATCGATACTCATTTTAATTGGGCGAGAAGTTAAGCAGATAATTAGTGTGAGCCAAGTACTGCCAAAATAGATACAACCCCTTCACTTAATGCTTCAAATTTCCGTACAGCTGTGTAAATTATCGTTTCCAGTTACAACGTAAATACAAAACAATTGAAATCGAATATCTCTTTGGGACTTTTAGATTTCAATCCGAAAACGAAAATAAATCAGTACTAACTCTTTCAAATAAATACAGATACTCATTCAATTCCCTAACGAGTGTGTAGGCGTTAAGGTCTAGATAGATTTTCAATACGTCTATATCAATAATCCTATAAGCACCATTATAATTTGATTTTGTTCGTACACAGAATGTCAATTTAACAATTTATAGACATTTCCCTCTAGGATTAAAAAGAGCGTCATCAGCCTGTTAAATAAAAAGAAATACAAAAAGATGAAATCTTACTTGATTTTTCAAGAACCACTGAAGACCAATTTCTTGTCTCGAGAGGCATCTACGTTGCATTTTATTAAAAATCTCAATTTTCCTTGTAACGAAATGAATTTTTAAATGACCACGAAACCGCTGAAGCCACTTTGGGGAGTATTACCTTCATTTTAAGAAGAAAAATTTAGATGAAGGAGAAAAATCTTGCAGTAACCTTCGTAATTCTTAAGATTAAACAAGATCGACCTTATTTCTTGTAACCTATACATAATTATGTAGTAGTTACAAACCTATATTTCGAATAAAATATACAGGGTGGAATTTCGTAATGCCACCTGAAAGGGAAGTACTCTTAATACTTAAGATATTAAATTTTACTCAAAGAAAACTTTCCTTTATTTTTGAAAAGAATGGAAACTGCATTCAAAAATTTTTAAAATTCGCTTGCCCCACGCGGTAATCGGACCGACTAAAATTTGTAAAAGTTGCACCCTGTACATTTATTGCATCGGTTGTTCCTTAACAAGGATGAATTATCTCTAATAAACTTCATGAATTTAATAACAACGAACGACGACAACGAAAATAACAATATTAAAAATCATAACTACACAACATTACGGCACTTAATGCCACTGTACAATGTAACACCCACTTTTCACCATTTATGTTATGAGTCCCATTTAATAGGAGGTGAGCCTATTGCCATATACTGGTAAAATTTCCAGACTCCGTACTACTGCTGAGTTTTCTTAAGAAACCCAGTAATACTTTACCCGACCATTTACTTTATCGAAGGCAGTCTTATAATGTTATCTCCTTGAAATGATTTTTAATATCATATCAAGAAATGAATGAAAAGAAATGATTTTTAATATCATTTAAAGAGAATTACATATAAGGTAAATTCTTCTTAACAAAACCTCCGAATGTAACCGAAACCAGGTCAGTTGGCAAGTATTTTAATATTTTTGAAAACTTTTGAATTTCTAAGCCACGAGCTGTGGTCTTAGCTCAGATAATATCATAAAACTGAGGAACTTAAACAACTTTGTAGACTTATCTGTACGATTTAAGGGCACCCGCCAGATTTATTTACAACGAAAACCATTTTGCGTGGAAACTTTTATCATATTTTCTTTTATTTTCCTTTTTTATTTGGATATTTTTGGCATATGCAAAATATGGAGATTGTGGTATATTGTTTCTATACACATCGGCTTATGTACTTATTAATTAATTAATAGCTATTTCAACAAACTACTGTAAGCCAAATATAAAATTCAAATGTCGACTTCGTATCTAATCGTATCCAAATCGTTACCTAGTAACTGACTTATTTGATTTAGCTTTGACAACAAGGTAGTTAGTCATTTTCCATTAAAAAATATTAAGAATTGTTAGACTAAACCAACTAAACCAATAAGGTATTCATAAAAAATCTCAGTAGTAGCACGGAGTCTGGAATAGTGCCCGGTATATGGCAATAGACTCACCCCCGATTACATGGGACTCGTAACATAAATAGTGAAAAGTGGGTGTTACATTGTACAATAGCATTAAGTGTCGTAATGTGCATCTCTGCATATCCCTCCGAGAATAAAAGGCGTGATGTTATGTTATGCTACTAAACCTAGTAAAAAGGTATTAAATACATGTTCAAATTTAACAACATTTACTTTTCAGTGTTCAAAAGTGTGTAAAATTATAGATGTGTTTACGGTTACAAGAGGGTTTAAATTCTCAGTTGCTTTGGTTTATTAAATATTAAATAAACAACTTTATTTGAATATAAACAAGGTTTAAAGCGTAAATAATTGATGTGAAACAATTTATTATTTAGATTTCGTTTCAAGAGCTGCCCATGTTGCAGCTGTAGCATGATAAAGAGTCGGCGTTTTTTCATAGGTACATATTTTGTTTTTGAAGCTGTGTTTGTACTGTAACTGAGAATTATTATAGTATCGAACTTTACACTTAAACATACTTTCAATATTGTAAATTTAAGGTTCACGTTATGGCATTTGACGAATGCATGCAATCATCACAAACAATAAGCAGCATATAGATGTCGGCCTGGAGGTTTAAGACGCCGGCTTCTCAAGCATGAGGGTGCGGGTTCGAGACCTACCAACGGCAAGTACCAATGTGACTTTTTCTAAGTTATTTGTACTTTCTAAGACTATTTAGACACCACTAACAAACGGTGATGGAAAACATTGTGAGGAAACCTAGGCTTATAATTTCCAATTATAACTTTGAAACCACAAAGCAAGCGTGGTGATTAGTGCTCAAACCTTCTCCTTGTGAGAAGAGGCTTTACTCAGCAATGGGCATTTATTGGCTGTTGATGAATAAGCAGCGTCAGTGTTGCCGCTTAGTGGACAGTTCTAATTGTTTTTAAGCAAGGTGCAAATATTTGTCACTTGTAGCCCGCCGATTGTTTGTGAAGAATGTAAGCATTTGTCAAATGATGCAACGTAGACAGTTACATTAGGCGTTTACTTTTCAGTTCTTACAATTTCGCAACCATGATCACATTATCAAGGAAGTAGTTAGTTTATAGTAAAAAAATGTAAACCAATGTGTGTTTTTAACTGACTCAAAGACAAGAAGGAGGTTGCAGTCAGTTTCTTGCACGTAGTTTATAATCTCCAATCGAGACGTTATAAACCGAATGAAAAAATATTTTTATTGACTTTTTATTTAAAGAGGGCGAGGGGATCATCGAATGGCTGCCCCAGCGCCGTGAGGCGAGAGGGAGTGTCAGAGAGACTAAACCATCCCGTTCCTACTCATTAACCCTATTGGGCGCCATCCGTGGTGGTCTGATGGCTCTTTGAGGCGCGGGAAACGCGACGCTCGGGTCTGGTTCTGATTGGGCGGCGAGAAACCCATGCTAGCGTCCGCAGACTCATACAATTTTTTCCTAACCTAGGTTTTGAACCTGATTCTTCTTGGTAAATAATGGTGATTGCGATCACTAGATCATCAAACCGTTTTTGTATCATACAAAATATTATGACTATGTTGAACAATAAAAATGTTTGTTTTTGATATTGTTAGTTTCAGTCCATATTATGTTTACATTTAATAAAATAATGTTTTGTCGAACATATCAGAATATTTGTTAAAGCAAACAGATTTTTTTGCAAGCGCATCTAAAATACATTTTATGGTAAATAGCTCTATCATAATAACATGCGTTTCGCGAAATTGTAAAAATTTCTAAAAATATTGCATTGTTAAATTTTTATTGTAGATGCTATATTCTCCATCAGAGAATCAAGTCATTCGACAGAGAACCAAAGTTATCGACATAGCCCAAAGGATAAATAAGCTGAAGTAGCGGTGGGCCGGTCACATTTGTCGAAGAAGTTCTTCCTCTCACCCCAGAGGCTCTCTGTGTTTAATGTGTTCTAGAGACTAGGAAAACGTAGTGTAAGGCAACCACCAGCTAGGTGGAGTTATGACATCCGCAAGATGGCTGGCAGCGGTTGGATGAGAAGAGCTGAAGACCGAGCTCATTGGCGTGCCACTGGAGAGGCCTATGTCCAGCAGAGGACGAACATAGGCTAATGATGATAATGATATTCTCCAATAACAAAAGACGAGATGTAAATATAATATAGATTATATTAGTGGACTGCAAATTTAATAAAAATGATGGGTCTCAAATTAATTAAATCATTATTAAGAAATAATAAAAAAGTGTGATGAAATTGTTGAATCAGAAAAATACACCAAAAAATAAGTAGCAGTTACTTATATTATTAGTAAGTATGCCTCTATCCATCATTTCAAGGAATTTTAATATTACAAACATAAACATTGAAAGAACTCAACATAATGTTCTGAAAACATCGAATTACTTCTCATAAATATATTTAAATAAGAATAATTGAAAGTCCCACATTACAACATGGTACTGAAGTGTAAATTATAATTATTGAAACATTTATCAGCTGATAATTGCGTTGCGAGATCGTAAATTACGAACAAAAGTATACTTTATTGTTTAATGAATATTCATTTAAAACATACTTTCCGATGTAATGTGCCTGCTTATTATATTATTCTTGGAAGTGGGTTAGTGGATATAATGAGAGGAAATGTTGAGGATATTTTTAAAATTATTGTTATGAAGTATTGGGAAAAAATGAAAGAATATCTTTGGTTGAAAGAAGTGGTTTAATTGTGTAGCAATTGAGTATACATATTATAAAATAAAAATAGAAATATATTTTGCGGAACTTGGATATCTTTTTTTCCAGCAGGGCTGATGCACGATCTGGAGTCACGGAAGACTTAACGGTTTGTCGAGGAGGAGGAACGGAGTGATTTATTGGTCATTTTATGGTCATAGACC